TTACTATTATTATTATTATTATTATTATTATTATTATTATTATTATTATTATTAATTATTATTATTATTATTATTATTATTATTGTTAATTATTATTATTATTATTATTATTATTATTATTATTATTATTATTATTATTATTATTAATTATTATTATTATTATTATTATTATTATTATTATTATTATTATTGTTATTATTGTTATTATTATTGTTATTATTATTATTATTAATTATTATTATTACCATTATTATTATTTGGTCCTATTAACTGCAAGGTTTTCTTGTCTATTTTCATATTCCAATCAAATATTATAAATTATTGAGAACTGTCGTATAATCATAAATCGTTTTACCACTTTAGCGATCGCAAATTGGAAAGTTTTTTTTTCCTTTTTTTGCAAACAATATTGATGGATAAGCAGATTGTTTGAGAGGATTGAATGATAAATTATCCATGTGGTAAAATTTTGAAACAGTATTGTAAAGTGGTGATTTTTCAGTCTGATGTATGACTGTATAACTGTCCTTTCATCATTTCTCCTTTTTTTTTTTTCCTCCATTTCTTATCATATGTCGCCATTTTGGTGAAGTTTCCAGTTGTCATCGGTTTTGATTTCATGTGTGGATTGAATGTATGTATGTCTCGGAAAAGAGCAATTGTCATTGTTTCATACAAACTACCATTTTCTGTTGTCGTCATTGGCGATGTTGTCAGCAGGTTTCTATTACTTTCTTTTTTTTGAAATGATCAACCTTCCATCTTTTTTTTCCTATATTCACATCAACATTATCATTTACCATTAGTGACAGCAGCAGTAGCAGCAGTAGTTGTAGTAGTGGTTGTTGTTGTTGGTTGTTGTTGTTGTTGCTGTTGTTGTTGTTGTTGCTGTTGTTGTTGCTGTTGTTGTTGTTGTTGTTATTGTTGTTGTTGTTGTTGTTGTAATAGTAATGGTAGTAATAGTAGTAGTTATATTCAATCGTTCTAATCCATTTTTTATTTTTTTTTAACATTAAATTTTTCCTCTATTTCCATTGTTTTTTTTTTTTTTGTTCTTTTTGTTTTTCTATTTTGCTTTCTTCTATCACTTCTCTCGCACTTGTGTAATATTTATCCATATTTGTAAATTTCTGTAATCTCATAATTCTTGATCTCCTTTTACTACTCTTTCTGTTTCCTTATATTCCCATTTTAAATCATAAAATTTGACCAATTTTGCTTTAAAAAGTTTAACTTTTAAGTTTCATTACTTGTGCCTTTCTAATTATTTGTTAATTTTAAAAAGGGAAGTATCCATTTTACTATATCATGTTTGAATTTATTGGAAAAATGATAAGAGATTGCATTCAAGATCAAAATATTGATCATTCATTCCAATTATCATTTATTATTGTGATTCTTGAGTATTCCATTGGTTTCAACTAATTCATGTTAAATGGATTGTCTTAAATGTTGTTTGGTTGTTTTGCAAATATTTGCTTATTATCTTGATTAAATATTTCAAAATTTCAAAAAAGGCTAATCCACAAGTGGATATTTCCGCTTTTCAGTAGTGAATGAATTTCTTCAGTTGTTCATCATGTTCGTTCTTGTATGCAATTGATATTGTGATCTTTTTCATTTTAAAATTTAAAATTCATATATGATAGCATACTTTTGATCTTTTATTGTATATTCGCAGAAGTGATGCATGTTTGTTCATAGATCTTATGAGATTTATTATTCCTCAATGTTGTATTTTATGCAATGAAGAATTTGCATTTTTTTGTTACGTAAATTTCATATATGCAAAAAATTCCGTAAAGTAGTCACAAATAAGCAAACCAATAATTAGATGAATGAGCTGTAAAATGCTCCTGTTGATGAAATTTTGAAAATTTTAAACTATGTTGATGGCACGATTGAGATAAGAGCAGTGTTATTGAGATGGACAATTTAAAAAAAAAACTACAACTTTTAACTCCTAAATTTTGGCCTAAATCACGATTAGTAAAATTTCAAAATTCAATGCTAATACAAAGTCTTCAACCATTTATTATCAAAGATAATAGCAACAGTGAATGAATTTCCTTCATATAACTTTTACTACATTCACTGACGACGAGTTATTTTCGAAGGAAATGAAAAAAAAAAAAAACTTCGTAACCTTGATATTTATGCACTTATATAATTAACAAAATAATTTATTAACAGGAAATAAGTTGATGATAGATGATTTAATGGGTTTGGCGCATTTTTGTAATGCATTTATCTCTCATCCTATTATCCTCGTTAATGCTAAATTTTTTTGTTTTAAAAAAAAAGAAATTTATAGAATTTTACCTAATAAAAAAATAGTTCGGAACCATAAGTAAACTTCTTGCTATCAATTTTAGGAAAAAAAAAAAACTAAAAAACTAGAAAGAAATTTTGTATCAGCATTCGATAATTCTCAATTCGTTTAATAATAATAATGAAATTGTATCACCACTGTATTTTCATTTTGTCATTATTTTGATAATGATAATTTAATGATGGTGTGATGAGTAGTAAATTATCAGTATCATGTGTAAATAGTAAATTATTAATGTTATATACTAACTCCAATTTGAATGTAACAATCTAAGAAGTAGTTGATAAAATTAAATTATCTAAGATACTATAATAATCGATATTTATCTCATCCCATTAAAATATCAATTTTTAACATATCATTTTAAATCATATTTTAGATACACTTATATCGTTGAAAAATTAATATTACAATTATTTCTTGCTAATATTTTCAATTTTTATGTTATATATATGTATATGTAAACAAATAATTGGCGCAATAAAAAATAGAAAAAAAAAAACAAAAGAAGTTGATAAACAAAAAATTTCGAAATTTGACGGAATAATTAGTTGTTCGTGTTGTTTTTCTTTTTTTTTATTTTGAATAACCATCGAATTTAATTTAATGTCCTTTGAGAATTTTTATTGCATATCGAAAACTAACATTTGTTTTAAGAAATGCTACAATTTGAAACTTCTAATTTTGAAATTGTTGTTGTTTATCCGTCGCTTCAAATTAATGCCTATATGATTCATTCTTTTTTAAACTATATTGTTTGCCAGTATATATATATATATATATATATATATATATATATATTATTA